AATACCTATTTGCCCATAAAGTTAGTTACATCTTAAATACGTCCCACTGCTGGGGCACAAGCCTTCTCTAATTTCTCAGAGGCTTTTAGGGCAAGGAATTGTCCGCCGCGCTACCTTAATGCGTGTTGGCGAATTTCACATGTCTTCGGAAAATTTATTTTCTTATTTCTTAGACATGCAGTTTTCCTCACGACGTTTTCCTTCACTGCCGAGCAAGTACTTACATTTGCAATTAACAATTTCATTGGTGCCAGAGGTGATTGAACCTGGGTTGCTCGTGTATTGTGAAATTTACAGCGAGCGCTTAGCACCTGATACGCATGTGCCATTATTTGACAAACACGAATTTACAATAACAATTTTGTAAAATCTTTAAAAAAAAGCGTATATATCGTTACAACACTACAATAACTTTCCCACCTTTCTAACAGCCCTCCTACGCCTTTAGGCTCACTCAACATTACAGCCAAAACTGCTAGTACAAAAAGTGCGAATTTTAACAGCTGCATTTTGAATTGGATCTTGCTAAGCAGAGCCTTTAATTCTAAATGACAAGCTTTGTACTACTTTTGTATTTAACGTTCAGCTGTATTTATAATACTCGTAGTGTACGGTTGGTTTATCCCATCCGTGACACATGACTCTCCAAGTTCTACAACTACAGCAATACATCTTTATCTTTGCGGTTTCTGTATATTTTTCCTCATCCACATCTAATGAATTACGCGTAATCTAAACATGTGACATGAAATAATAAAATTCTAACGACGCACCCTGTCGTTGATTGAATCAGAGTATGTTATTCATTATTCTCAATCAATATTTTTTCTACTTATTTAAAATTTTATATTTTTAAACTGGTAGTGGCGTCGTAAGAGAACCTACTAGAGATGCCGCGAATACCCGCTATTATTCGGTATTCGGCATTACTCGGCATTTTTTTGTTGCTCGTCGAATAGCGAGTAATAGTGTTCAATATTCGATATTCGGCGAATAGTTGTCTAAATAAATTGATATTAAATAGACGGAAAAACGAAAGATAGACAAAATATAATCATCATTAAAAATATAAAAGTTAGCAAAAATCAGTCAGGTTAAAGTTAATAAAATAAGGCTTTTTAATTAATATTCAAAGTCAGAAAATTTTTTTTCGTAAACCAAACCTGCCTCAGCAAATAGTCCTTCTGAATAAACAGAACTTGCTGGTGTGACTTAGTATAGTTTAGCAAGCTTACTTAAAATTGGGAATCGATTCCTATTGGTACTCAAAAATCATACATATGGGTTTTTACTTCTGTCAGCCTTTGCTAAACTGATGTAGTTGGCAATTTCGTCAGCAATGGCATTATTGGGATGCTCTCCATTAGGCTGCTCGGTTCTCGTAGATTTAGATTTTTCGAAACATGCCGAAAATAGTTCATGAGTTTCTGAAACGCCATCTCCCTTTTCATTGTCTAAGCGAGATCTTTTGGACGCCATTTCTTACACAAAATTAGGTTATAGGTGTATAAAAGTCGTAATGGTAGTAGTCTTAGATTTTTTTAGATAACAGTAACATATAAATGATAGGTTCAAGATAGTTCAAGAGACAACTACAACTGTAATATTATTATTTGATAACAAATAAATTATTTTGTATATTCATTTTTTTATGTCGAATAATAATAGCGACTATTCGACTATTCGCCGTGAGGAATGGCGAGTAATCGGTATTCGACTATTCGCCATAACAACTATTCGCGGCATCTCTGGAACCTACTGCCCCATACCTTACTGTAGGCTTCTGACAGATGGAAATAAATCGATAGAGCAGCATCATGCTCCTAATTTTTGTTATTGAATAAGGGTGACAAACGAACGGACATTCTACCTGATGGTAAGTGGATGCTATGGCCCATCGACATCTACATCCATTCTCAAAATGCAGATACGTTGTCACCCCTAAAGACTAAGACGGAATGTCTCGTTACCAGTAAAGAAATCACCAGTTCTCTACACTCACCATACGAAACACGCATCAGCATTAAGCTGCTATTTCACGCCGGTATTCCATGAGAGCGTGGTCCCTCCCCGGTCGAGCCTACACATTCGTGCCACAACTATAATATAGCTGCAACATGACTCTGCTACGTATAAATAAAATAAATACTTCAATTCCCAACCAGCCCGACAAGCACAAAGGCTCAAACCAATCCCATGAGCTGCAACACACGAAATTCTTACAAGCTTTTCTTCGCCATTTTTCTAAATAGTTTTCGGTAATTCTAAAAATGCCAAACATTTTCTAGACGACAGAATTACTTTTCTGTCTATTTCTCTAGTTTCTCTTAGAGTAGAAGTCAAGTAGGAGTTCAACTATTGTTATTTTCCAAATCAGATGTGTTCCGTTCCGTATATTAAAGCCGATAAACAAAAAAAAATTCTAGTAAAAATTGGTTAACATTTTTATTCTGAAAATACAATAAAGATACCTACTGCTCATGTTGGTTAGGTCAGGAAATCGTTGATCTGTATATTTGTCACAAAACAGATTAATTTATTTGAAAAAGTGATATTTAAGCACCAAATTAAATGGCGAAAAAATACCTCATTTAATTTGCGAATGGAACAATGAAAGCAATAAGTAGGAGGAGCCGTGAATACAATGCTTTTAAGCACGTAAGCTTTACGGTATCAAAACGTTATCGGTATCTTTTTTATGTGTGAGCTCGAATTTCTTATAAACATGCAATGTTTGCGTGTATATAAGAAATTCGAGACCTGAAAGTAAATAAACATTCTGTTTTCTATTAACTTATAAACAAGTCTTCATGAAATTAAATTCAGAAAAGTGAAAAAGGGATATTTCGTTTTCAAAACTGTTATAAATTAAAATTGAATAATTTAAAGCATATTCCTTCGTTGCTTCAAAAGGTGATCACGTTTTTCACGTAGCTCTGTACACTTTAAAGAGAGCGCCTTTATTTTATCGTCTAGTTCTTTTTTTTCCGCTGAAAGGTAAAAAAAGAGATTTTCAAAAAAATAATGGAAATGTAACAAAATTAAAACGATAATTTTTCAGCGATGTATTTATACATATTATGTTGGCGATAAAAATACTTTTATTAAGCACCAACTCCTTATTCGTTATTTATTTGTTTTCTTAATCCGTTTTGCCTACTCAAACTAAACAGACTGTACTCAAACTAAAATTCTAAATAGCAGTTGAAACTGTGAATAAAATACTTTAAACGATAATTGAGTCGTAAAGGTTTGTAATAAGTCAGTGTGCCAGCCAAATGCACACAATTATTTGCCAATGAATCATGAAAAAAGGCAAGAAGTCTTGGTCTAGTACCTTGTCATCATCATCGTCATAATCATTACAGCGCTTCACAAGTCCACTGCTGAACATGTGCCTTCACCAAAGAATGCCACAAAGCACGGTCCTGAGCCACCTGCAACCATCGACTTTCTGCATGTCTTACTATGTTGTCACTCTATCTAGTGGGGGACCACCCCAAACTTCTTCTACCGGTACGAAGCTGCAACTCAGTGTTGGGAAATGTACAATAATTATTGGATTCTTACAATAATTTGTTACACGAAACTAAATTGTACCATAAAACATAGCTTTCTCATTATTGTACGCTTTTATACAATATTTTCCTATTTTTACACAATATAAGTTCAATACTAGACACACGCAACATTAAAATTTATGAACGAACGCATCACGTACTTATACCAAACAATGTAGTCATCGCTTCTAAAAGCGCAAAACGTCTTGTATAGGAATGTATATCATTTGAACCCACGAAACAATTGGCAAATCAAATTGTCTCCAATGTCCTGTATGCAACAACTTCTCAGCAGTCAAATCCGTCTACATCTACACGTCGAGATTTCGAACTCGAAGAAGAAGACGACTTCGAATTTTCCATTCCTATTTAGTTCATATTGTATAATTCCGTGCCCTAAGTTTTATTATTTTAATAAAAAAAAACATTTAATAACATATTTTTAGTTTATGCAAATATAAAGAAATTACAAAAACCTATTAAATTTGGATTTAGACAGCTTAAATAAATAAATAAATCTTTAGCAAAAAAATACAATAATTCTACCCAAAATACAATATTTTCTAGCTTGGCAACACCATAATTTCGCACCAACTATTTCCCAACACTGCTGCCACCCGAGAACCTTATTTCTCCGTCGGTTGCTGTTTCTTCGAGTTATAAAGCCGTTGCATTGCCATTTCAGCTTACTAATCCGTTGGGCTATGTCGGTTACTCTGGTTCTGTTACTGATATTCTCATTTCTAAGTTTATTACGCAGAGATTTATATGTTTATTAAAATAAGGCCTGCTAGCAAGGTTTTAAGAAATGTTTGATTTTGTTTTTCTTTAGGGCAAATGTTACAATTTTTCGTTCATACTTTATAGAAACTGAACCAAACCAATATTTTTCATTAAAATCTGTAGACCAAATTTGATATTTCTCATTTTAATTCGAATTTCCCTTAAAGTAAAAGTAAAGTAAAGTTACAGCCTATATACGTCCCACTGCTGGGCACAGGCCTCCCCTCATTTCTGAGAGGGTTTTAGGGCAAGGAAGTGTCCGCCGCGCTGCCCCAATGCGTGTTGGCGAACATCACATGCCTTCGAAATATTTTTTTTCTTATTCCTCAGACATGCAGGTTTCCTCACGATGTTTTCCTTCACCGCCGAGCACGTGGTGTATCAGCACTTAAAATTGCAATTAACAATTTCATTGGTGCCGGCGGGGATCGAACCCGGGTTTCTCGCGTTCTGTTATATTTACAGCGAGCGCTAACCATCTGAGCTACCACGGCTGGTAATAAGGGCTTGTTAAGGGAATTTCCCTTAACAAGACCTTATTACCAGCAGCTACCTTAAATTATATTTCAAGTAAATTTAGATCGTAAACATTTATAGCGAAGTTTTGTCCCAATACTATTTCGCAAAATTTTTAGTACTTACACTATCGCGAGTATATCAAGTGGTAGGTCCGATACTAGAGATGTTAATTCTTTTTTGAAGTTCCTTAACAAAATTTCGTTGGCTTTCTTCTTCTGTCTCAAGTTTTATTACCATTTGGTTTATCATTTCCAATTCTTTTTTCATTTCGTCTTCATTCTTAAATGTTTTACATATTCATATTAATGTCATCGAAATATTACTTAAAATCAGGTTAATATTGTAAACTTACATAAAAATTTCGAGTCTTTCGGAAACGGTCTGCTTTTTCACGTAACGATTCCTCATAATTACGGCTGTAAACATAGGTACATTTGAAAATCACCATATAAATATTTTTATTGTTTTTTTTTTTCTAAATTATGTTTTCAACTTTGACTGTCAACACTACTAGTTTACATAAAATTTCGTCTAAACCTTTTAAAAACTTCATCCTTCCATCCATTGCAATTTGCAACCTATCAAAATATACCTTAAGACCTGATTGCACCACAAGAGGGATGTTTGCAATAGTTACCACGCTCGGTAGGCGAGTTGTCAATCGAAGTTTTTTTTTTCTAGTTATTAGGATGACACTGCTTTCTATTTCTTGATTTGTTTCCCTCCATCTCCTCTTACGACTCCCACGGGGTGATATACTATTTTATATAGAACATCTTAGACATCTGCATTTCTTCAATAGTACTTACACCCTTCCTAATTGGACGACCAGTGTAAGAAGTAGAGTAGTAGGATAATGTATATTCTGGTGCAAGTCCAGGTCTAGTCCAAGTCGTCAAGAATCAAGTGAGATTAGGTAGATGTAGCCGAATATAGCTTGGTTGCAATAATCCGTCCATTCATTTGCAAGCAATTTATAAAATTTTGTTTCAATTTACATTTTATTTTTACTGTAAGCGCCATCTATGAAATATCATTAACGATTAAGATACTTTAAACGCTATGTATGTATGTACTAGACGTTTCACATTCTTATTATTTTTTCCCATCTTTTCTTTAAATACATATAAAACCCCAGAACAATAACTAAAGAGCATTCTGAACATACCTATTTCACAGGATGTAGCTTTTATAATCCAAAAATAGCGAAAACATTTCTTTTTAGGCTTTATTCAGTTTTTATTATTCTTATAATTTTTCCCGTACGAATTATCATAATCTTTTAAAGAATTATCAAAAACTTGATAAAATATATTATAACCTTGTATCGGTAACGGAACATTAATGATTCATTTCATGCTATTTCCTAGGCAACAATTAAATTTTGGTAACGGAACGATGTGCAATAAACAATTGGATTATGTAGTTTTAATTTTTAGAATTAGGTGTATTAGATACCGACGAGCCTACCCTACAGAGTTATAGGGGTTAATGTGTACTGTGTGTGTTGTGTTATGTATTAGGTATCTATTTTATCTAATCCAACTTAAGTCCAGGAGGAAGGCTACGACAATCTTAAATGTAAAATTGAGTTAATATTCGAAAAGAAAAGATATTTGAAAAAAGGTTTTTAAGTAAGATTGGAAGAAAATTATTGGATATACATATAAATCAAACCTCTTTACAGAAAAACATATACTGTAACCTTATAGTATGTAGGGTGTATTGTAAATTGTAAGCAATCATAAGTTTTGTTTTACCGTGGATTGATAACTTGCGTGAGCAATTTATTATCATTATTACCCTAATGGCATACCTAGAACATAATAACCGCTGCAGTAATCGACAGTATAGGTTCCGCCATAATCGTTCGACAAGGGGACATATTACATAAGATAGGACCTTCTTGGATATGCTACTCATATATGGGCGAAGGTTTTAGAGATAAATGTAAAAGCAATTGCTGTCTCTCTTGACAGATATCCTCGGCCCCTGAGAAAACCCTGTCAATGGCCTATATGGATACGCATATATGGATAAATGTTCACGTATGTATACGAAATCATGTCACAGTCTGCAAGTTGTTGTCTACTTATGCGCGGCACCTATGTGTACGCAGAAGAGAGTACAGTTGTGGTGAGATATCAGCCGAGTGCTCGGCCCAGTTAGGATCAAACCCAATTGAAAAGAAAATATAATATGGTTGAGCGTGTAAATCTCCTACTTTAGCTCATTTACCGACCGCCTTTAGTTTTAAGTGAGTGATAGACGGGCGAGCAAGTACGCGTACTTATGGCTCGACGACCTTTTTCGCTCGTGTGTCACCGTAAGTACGCGTACTTTAAAACCGCCGAGTAAGTTCGTCGGCGATCCAACCGGTTTGAAATCTTACTCGTAGCTCGTCTTGGCTCGTACGTGTGGCAGCACTGCGAGCCGCGAGCCGCCATTTTGTTTCGCCAGTCCGTGGACGCGCACGCTTGTTTAAATTGCAATTTTTGTTAATTTTGATTCAGAAATTTCTCAAAATGTGTGATTTTCGAACTTATTCGCATGAACTGCTAACCGAATTTATAGAAGCTTTCCGAAATAACCCTTGTCTTTGGAAAATTAGAAGCAATGACTACAAAGACAAAAATTTGAAGCTTCAAGCATACAATAATTTATTAGAAATTATACGGAAGGTAGAAAGAGATGCTACGATTGAGAACGTCAAGAAAAAAATTAATTCATTAAGGGCTGGGTTCCGAAAAGAACATAAAAAAGTGCAAGATAGCAAGAAGACAGGTTCAGGAACTGACCAGGTATACGTGCCAAAATTATGTTATTACAGTCAGCTTGAATTTCTCAAAGATCAAGGCCAAGGTAAGTTTAATTATTTATTAAAGAATTTCTCTATACACTATTATATTATACGTGCGTATTCTTTGTTATGCCTGTGCCTAAATTAGGTAGGTACCTAAAATAGAGTACCTATTATAGCACTTTGTTTCATTACAATAATGACATTGTGATGTTGAACATTAAAACCAAAAGTAAATTTAGAGGGTTTTTATTTAATTACAGGTGAACAATCAACTGACAATATAGACAGCAGCGAACAGGAGACAGCTAATGATAATGAAAATACATTTGATGCTGAACATAGTGAAAATGATACCCAGGTAAAAATACTATTATTATATCATTCTTTGTTGCCATGACACTGCACCACTAGTATTAAAGTAGGTTTCATACTTTTCTCTGATAATTTTTGCATTTTGAGTGGGGTTACGACTATGTGTTTGTTGTAGTGACTGTAATTCTCCATTTTGTGGTCTCAGCCCCAATTCAATAGTTCCATTTTCGTGATTTTCACTATCTAAGTGCTGATGTGGACTGTAAGCTTGTCTTAATTTTTTCCTTAAAAAATTGTGCAATACACAACATGCCAAAACTATTTTGTTAATATTGTGCACACTGGTATTTATAGGCGATCGAAAAATGTGGAATCTTGCCGCCAGAATTCCAAAAACATTTTCTATAATTCTTCTAGCCCTGCATACTCTATAATTGTATATCCTCTTACTTGAGCTAGCCTGTGATTGCCTTTGTGGGTACGGTTTCATAAAATCTGTCCTCAAAGCAAAAGCCTCGTCGCCAATAAATACATAAGGCAATTCTTCTGAATGACCGCTTGGTTTTCTGGGGCTAGGAAGATTTAAGCGCTTGGAATTCAATCTTTGAAAGAATGTAGTTTTTTGTAATACACCTCCATCAGAAATACGTCAATTTGTTCCAATATCTACATAAATAAATTCATAATTTGCATTTGCAATTCCCATAAGTACAATACTGTGATACCCTTTATAATTAAAAAAATGTGAGCCGGCTCCGGCAGGAGGGACTATAGTTACATGTTTCCCATCGACGGCTCCTAAACAATCTGGAAATGGCCATGTACGCTCAAACTCTTCATCAATTGCTAGCCATTCTTCTTCTGAACTCGGGAACTGTAACAAAAAAACCCATAATTCAGTATAAATGATATCATTTTTATTTACAGAGTACCATTTGCAACGTGTCATCACCTGAGACAGCTGCAACATCTGTTGCTTCATCTGCACGTCGTAAGCGACACGGCAATGCCGCCATTGAAGACACAATATCGTTAATAGGTAAAAGATTACAAAACCCAGATGATGAATATGATGCTATAGGAAAAAATGTCGCAATTAAACTCCGCAACATGACTGCTATTCAACAAGGCATAGCTGAAAAGCTCATCAATGAAGTTATTTTTTTGGGACGGTTTGAAAAATTAACATTCAATACAAGTATACATAATCCAGTTCCAGTCCAGGTACCCCAAAGACCATTGATACACATGCCAGCTGTTCCAGTCCAGCTGCAAGAAACACAAGCATTTAACTTGACACAAGACTCGCAAACTATTAGTATCCCGGACACCCTGGTTGAATATTTAAACTTTAATAATAATAACTAAAAATAAATAAAATAGTACGTTACATTTGTATATGTTCAAGAGTAAATTTATTTGTTAAGCATTAATGTTAATGTGCCATTGCAAAATAAAGTCTGATTATTTGTACTGAGTTATTTTATTTATAAAGTATGTAATAAATGATACATACCTTCAAATATGTTTTCAGTGCAGAGTAGATTGCGTCACATGTCTCAGGAATTACGTACCCCAATGACTGTCTTGATATTGCTGACGAATACATTACATCTTTATATGTTCCACCAGTTATCAAAAATCGTAATGTTGCACTTAAACGTTCATGCGGTAAAATAGCTTCTCTCATGCAAGTATCCTGTTTAGCTATAATTGGTGTGACTAAACACAAAAGTTCTTCATACACAGGCTCAGGGATTCTGAAATAATTCTGGAAATCTTCCTTCTCTTCACGTAACTCTCTTACTAAATGCACATGTGATAAACGCTCTCTTTTTGTATGCCAGTTCTTAACCCACACTTTTCGCCTTCGTCTATTGTTTTTAGTTTTTGAAATGTAATACGATATAATTCCTAAATAACACAAAGCTTCTTCAGTGGACGACATCACGATACGGTATGAGTAAGTTGGCGCGTGTGTCGCCGACGTCGAGCCAAGTAAGTTCGCGATCTTAAAAACCGCCTACTTTAAGTTCGTACGTCTATCACCCACTTTAAGGGGTTGAAATTTCCTCGAACCTGAACTTAAACTTGAAGTTAATTCAGTCCCGTACCAAAGTAGCCTCCTTGCTAGTAAGGTGACTAGCTAAGGTTCGGCGATACTTCACGCTAGCACAGATATTTTCACAGTCCAGCCATACTCGTGCATGGAGAATTGCTACCACATATGTGGCTGGTGCTACTAAATGTCACCTAGCAGCTTTGGGCTCAATGGAAAGGTGTGCCAAAAATCTTATTTGTGACCTAAATCTGCTTAAAAGCAATCTTATCAGTCTCGAGCACAGTCGCCAAATAGACAGCCTGTCGGTGTTCGCACTTCGCAGGAATTGCAAGAAGTCCTACCTCTCCTTTACACTATCGGACAATAAGACGATCGGCGAGTCTCCAATCCTTTGTTGTCCACGTATTTGAACCAAACGGTTTGCTTCGTCATAATGCGTACAAAGGAATCGAATGATTTGTTAACATCTGGTTTTCTACCCGATGAAAATATTAAGATAATTCAGTACGCTTTAACATCTTCGGCTGCAATACAACTTTCCATCAGGTGGGATAGTAATCAAGCACTTTCTTGTAATAGTTAAAAATATAAAGGTGTAAGAGGATACGCATAAAATTCTTAAAGTGGTAACCTGACCTGCATGTCGGTATGCGGCAGCAAGCTCTGGTGACCGAAACATGGTGGTATATAATTTATAAATCTGGAAACCAAATTTCACAAAAAAAATTAACAGAAATACTAGTACGTGGAAATCGGCTCTGCTTTTTATCCATCAGCCTGGCAAGCCGGTTAGGATAGGCAAATTATTAAAGTTCAGGTACAAGTTTTAATGTGAATATTACAAAAGACTTGCAATGGTTTTAAAAACTAAAAAATAAAGGCGAACTGAACAGCAAGTTATCTGTAAATAAGTTAAAACGATACCTACTGATTTTTCAATGCGTAAAGCATCCTCATGTTAGTAGGTAATCCTCTTACTCGAAGGGTCCTTTTTTACGTAGGGAAATGACTTAAATTCGGATACGGTTAGCAAGGATGAAAAATTTGACAAGTTTTTGCTTGTGGTTGTGGTATTGTATAACCACCTCCTTCGCAGTTGCACATCATCATCATCATCAGCCCTTAAAATCTATAGCCGGACATGGGTATCTCAGTTGGAATATAATAAAGTAACTAAACTTACATTTGCAACTCAATATCACGTTCCTCTTCCTTCAATAATTTTTCAAGTTCAATGCGATTTTCACGCGTCTGTTCTAGAGACTTTGTAATGTCTTCACATTGGTTTTTGAGTTGTAATCGCTTAGCTGTTAGCCTCACTTAAAAATAAACATACATAATTAAAACTTACGGGACGTAGTTGACCGTATTGTGTATATCTAGTAAAAGTACGTGCCAATGCGCACAATCCTTGGGTCAAACCCCAGCCTGATGCACTAACTATTTAAATTAAAAACGTGCAACTTATTGAATTCCGAATTAAGTATTATAATTGCAGACGAATCATATCGATCGAACCGATAATGTCAACACGTTGTCGTATGTCGGTGACGTAAGGAAACCCATCCCATTTCGTCCCGTTGATGTCGTAAGAGGCGATTATGAGAAACACCAGGAAATCTCACGGCTTCCGTTATATGGTCACAAAATATCCAGACCGGCGACGCAGCTGTGAGACGTTTGATAATGCGATTGCGATGCGACAAATTCTCTCTTTAACAGAGAAGGCCCAAGTCGGATAGTAGACTTTTGTGACCTGATGAAGAATATGTAATGTGTTCTGCGCAAGTTTTCAATAACATTAATCTACGTTGTATGCTACGTTACGTAATCCACACTATGAGCTAGGCTAACATGGATGTCGTGGTTTACGAATGCTAGGGAGAAAAATAGTCTGGACTCCCGATGGAGATTAAAGATGTAGTGACAGGCTGCAATAACAATGAGCAACTTAGATAAATACACGCTCTAGAGTGAAAGAAGGCATATAAGGGCAACAGAGTTCACTTAGCTTATTTGGGATTTTTTATGCTTGCTTAAAACAAATGTGAACATCTTAAATACCACGTCACCTCCCACAATTATGAGTCACCTCGGAATAAAAAATTTAAACACTTATTGAAATAATTTTAGTTTGTGGGCATTAAAAATACATTTAGATTAAAAGTAAAAATGTTTTAATAATAGTAATCAATATACTTAAATAAATATGTAGAATATAAATATAAATAATAAATATTATGTAATATAAATAACACAGACATTAATCAACATTAAGATACACATATCTCTAATGTAAAAAAATATTTGTATGTTGGTTCGTTTGCGTTCGTACAGGTACCATTCATTCGATTACGATGAAACCTTACCTACCTTTAGTCTGTACAATGACTTTCATTACAAATTCACTCTGGACTCTTGACTATCAATATTAATAACTGGACCACCTATCTAGTCCAAAGTTTTTTATTCTTTTTGGTAATAAATTGAACTTAACTAAACTTAACGGCTCCGTGGCGCATTAAGATATGGCGCTGATGGCCGCCGTTTCGAATTCCGCACGGAACAAGAGTTTGTATGGCCTATAAGTAATTGTTCCGGGTCGGAATGTTTGTCTTGTGCAATTTATATTACAATTAAATATATAGCTTCAAAGGTTATTTTAAAACGTGTGAGTACGCCAACAAATTGTATCATTACCGACTGTTTCGACTATGAAACACCATACCCGTAACTAAACCGTTTTTAAGATATTGGATATTTAAGTTTTTTTATAAAAATTCCCAATTTTTTGTCTATTGTACTATTTTTTTTTTTATAATTTGTGCATCTTGTTATATTTTTATAATAACTTTTGTGTAGTAGATAAGTTGCTTTAATATTTTTAACACCAAGATCTTAGGTAAATAAACAATCTGGGTCGTAGTAGACGATTATAGGTTTTTGTAGACGATTGAAGATTCAAAAAAGAAATAAATTTGTACAGTGTTTTTTCTTTGAGGCATATTTAAAAAAATCTAAGGCAGGTATGTTGCATATGTACTTAAAATATTTACGTTTCTTCAGTTGTCCAACAAGCTATGACAATATAGGATATTACCAAAATTCTTAGAATAAACTTAGATGGAACGCTCACAGGTAGTATAAAAAAATAGCAATGCACATCATGCGTCAAATTTATCACTTGGCTCTACCCATTGTATAACGCTTCTCCAGAAATGTGCCGGACAACCGTTATGCGGAAGTCACATGTCTCCACTCTGATTGAGTGCTAAATCAACCAGTTAAATCTTGTCTTAAAAAGTTTTCGTAGTGTTCTCCATTTAAATTGTCAGGTAGAAAGTAAAGCTCAAGCAAATGGTTCTATATTATGCCTATCCAAACATTCAAGCTGAATCGTCTTTGTGACCCCTAATGAATAATGTGAATAATGAGCGTTGTGGTAATTGGTTATACCATATTCATCAAAAACTCATCTGTCCAGAAGACATTTCTCAGAAATGATGGGTCTTTTAAATCTGCATGCATCATGAATTTGCAGAAATCAAACCTCCTCAAGAGATCTTCTTCTTCGATAACTTGTACTGGCGTGTAGTGATATACGTATAGGCCCGCTCTAAGGATAATAAACCACACTTTCCACTGCGAGAGTCCCAAGTTATCGGCTAACAATTTTAGTAGAAGTAGTTGGATCCAATCTTAAACGTTGAACTATCTCATTGCCTTGCTCTTCGTCATCATCAATGACACATAGTCTACGCAGGTTTGTTCGTCACCTTGAGATAGAACCAGTCTCTCTAAATTGACGATAAATTCTTTCAAACACACTAACATCTAGCACTCGGTTGCCGGGATAACATACTATGTATTCATCACGTACTTGTGCGGATACACAATTGTAGTATCCGTAACAAATCAAAATATCAGCATATTGCTCGTTCATAAATCTTCAACGGTTAAATATCAAAAGCAAAAATCAAAGTTCAGTTGGCGAGCACAGTCACGGATCGAAAGAAAGACAGCCCAGAAATACAAGCCAAGCCGAGTAGGAAATAGCACTGAGTATCGCATCTACTACGTACGAATCACGTTAGTAAACTAATAAACTAAACACAAAAACTAAAGTTAAACTCCCAACACCGTTATGTTTTACTACTACCTGTGAGCTTTTAATTCTAGGGTTTTTCTAGGAATTCTGACAAACCTTAGACTGTTATACCTTGTTGGATAGCTGAAGATACGTAGATATTTTAAGTACACATGCAACATACCTGCCATAGATAGTTCCACAAAAATTATAACAAAAATAAAACAAGATGCACAATTTACAAAAAAATTAGTACCACCAAAAGTTGGCAGTTTTTATGAAAAACTTAAATACCTAATATCTTGAAAACGGTTAAGTTTGGGGTATGGTGTTCTTTTATACCTAAACTGCAACTCCGTGAAATGTAAAAGGAGGGATAGTGGTAGTGGTAGGCTATGTTAAAAGGTAATCTTTCTATTCTACATTTATTTAACTTACTACTACAAGATTTTATTTTGAAATATATCCGAGTAGATAGCTGTGTGTAAAAATGTATTGCGCTATGGGGCAATTTTGGCTAAACGCAATAAATTGCGCCTGATGTACTAAGTACAGTGTGATCCACTGTACTTAGTAAATCAGGCGTTTCAAAGCTTTTTTAAAATCATGGTATATACAAATCTATTGTTGATTTTTACAAATTTGAGATGAAATTTTATAATCAACATCTCATGAAACCAGACAATCTGTTTTATTTAATCGTCTAACGGCTTTTTGTTGTCTTTAAAAAACCGCTTTACTTTAAATTAATAATGTTAGTATTTTTTTACTTGTTATTAAAACAAGATATACTGAGATTGTCTCACATGCATTATGAGCTCTAAACTCAAAAGGAAATATTAAAGAAATGAAATATCGAATGTGAAATTATAAACAATACATACTATTTTCTAGTTTAAGACGTTCCATTTCCGTATTAAGGGTACGGGCGACATGGAGAGCAGTCATCGTCTCTTGATATTTTTCCTCACTTTCTGCATCCAATTCTGGTAACGCTGAACGCTAAAGTAGTTAAATAATGTTCTATAAAACATTAATAAAGCATTTAAATTTTTAAAATGCAGCAAATGTGCTTTGTACTCTATGGTGTATTTATTCAGTATCGAAACGGCCTTGACATTCCAGACGAACAGCATTGTGCCATCGACAGGGTTCACAGCTGTCGTCGTCACCACTTGGCGACGGCTACCGTCGTCGCTTTTATTTCTACTGTTAATATGCTAACGTCGAAAGACAATACTTTTACGAAGAACAATTCCAAGCTTTTACGAATTACTAATACTAACTTATATTATCTATTACAGCGTGGGCAGAAATTCTCTTTTATCATTTACAACAACTACAGTTGTTATGAATACCTTCGGCAAAATATATTTCGTTTGTTATGCAATTGCATGCTTACCTGTACTACCAAATCATTTTCTATTTCTTCTAAATTAGTCTTCAGCAGCAATATCTCAATTTGTTGCTCTTCAGGTGAGAACATGGTGATAGTTTTACTATATTTCTATAAAAAATAAAAAAAGCAAAAAAGAGAGAATGCGATTATATAGAAGTCTTGAATCACTACGTTTCTTTAATGAAGCGTACTGAGCGTACGTTACGAGTACGTAAGTATGTAATTTGATTGTGTTTATCGCGCCAAAATATTTTGTTTTTTTTCTTAAGGAAAATGTATCAGCCAGTACACGTTAAAATTATTAAAAATTTTAACACCCAACTTCAGTTCCCTAAAATTATAAAAGGTTTTAGCGCGAACTTGGCCGTAGAAGGATTGTCTCTACTGTTTTGTCGTTTGAATAATGGTTTGAAGTGGATTTTGATTCGTAAAAGTGATGCGATTTGAAAAATTCTTTTTGTTTATTATAGCGGGATCATAAGTATAGACTATCTAGCATTAGGCCACACTTCACAGGTAGCCGTAAATATTGATTTTTGTTTAGCAAGTCAGAAGAAAAAGCACTCCCGAAATGTTTTATATAGAATTAGGGTGACAAACGAGCACACAGTCACCTGATGATAAGTGGATACTGTGGCCCATAGATATCTACATTTAAACTCGATTAATAATCAAAATGCAGATGCGTTGTCATCCTCGTCATGTCACTCTGAAATAAAATATTTCAGAGATTTTAAGGCGGGGGGAAGTTAATTTTCTATGCATATAAAATAAATAAGGTTAATGTTTCTTTCTCATATATTACTTATATTTTTTTATTATTTAGATTAGAAGTAGATTAACCAAACTACGAATATTTCTAAAAGTAGGAAAATGAAAAAGAGTTAAAAATACTAGAAACCGATAATTTTATACGTAACTCAACTCCTCGAACATAATGAGTGTATAACCAACTACTTCACCTCAGTTCCAACTAGCGAAATTTGGTGAACGGAAGATATTAGCCCTTATTACCATGTGAACACAGACCAGAAAGTATCCAGTTATAGGCTGTAAAAAACACTTCAAAACATTCCAGAATGGCGCTAGTGTAGATACAAGGTATAGTATGAATCTATCAGTTGCAGTGGGCTGAGTTAATAAAATTAAAATTTATAATGACTAGATTACTTAGTTAGTTACAGTATTGTATACAAAACTAACAGTATTCACGTAGTCCAAAAATATTTTTTAAATATAACCTAAAATAATTAATAGTAAATAATAATAAATAATAGTATTTTTATAGTCACCCAAATCTAAGAAACACACTTGGACAGCTGTCAGACTTATTGCACCAAGTATGCCAACCAAAAAATGGGAACGTACAATATTCGATTCTTAAAAAAATCGATAACGATTATTTTGAGTTGGTAATCATTTACAGTTTGGTTTGAATAATACCTACCACAATAAATTAAAAACGGATAATTTAAAACACAAGATTTATCAGTTTCTTCGTATTTGTTAATACTGCTTATTTCTAGAGGCACAATTATAAAAATTTAAGATTGAAACTAGATTAAAAGTAAATTTATCTATTCAATCACTTTCAGTACAACTTGTTGAGTCGTTGTTTAAACTAATTATTATTTGATTTTCAGTAATGCAGCAAAAATTAATATCTGTTTCAAAGTCGTTCATAATTAAAAAAATTCTACCTCATTTGCCCAATCATCCTTTGTGACATGGGCACATGCTTCAACGAATATAGAAAAACAGACCAAAAAGTTAAAACTGAATCACAAAATAAGAAGACAAACATAAAATTACTCGCAGTAAGCTCACGAAGTGGCGGGAGATTGAAATTACGTAGTAGTTTTTTTCAGCGCAGCCTTGTATATAAGTTTTTTTGCCTACACAAAGTAAAAAAAAACTTGTTTTATTCACGATTCACGTAATTTATGGAATTTTAAAAATAAAAATTTAATTAAACAAATAATACATAAAAAACTAATGATTCGATTATTCGAATATTTTTGCTGATTATTCGAATAACAATGAATTTTAATCATCCAAACACTACGGTAAGGCACATAGCGAGTAGCGACATATCATTGAAACGACGTCAAGTGAAAAAGTTGTTAATGGTTATTTGTTTAATATTTTGCTTTGTTTGAAAGATTAGAATTTAAATTAGTGATAAAAACCTATACACGTTGTAATGAAATAAAGATAACTTCATAATTCTTCGGATTTACGTCATCATCATCATCAACATTACAGCCCTTCACATGTCCACTGCTGAACATAGGCCTCCCCCAAGGTATGCCACAAAGCACGGTCCTGAGCCATCTGCATCCATCGACTACGATGCATGTCTTACCAGGTCGTCACTCCATCTAGTGGGGTGTCGCCCTACACTTCGCCTACCGGCACGAGGCTGCCACTCGAGAACCATTTTTCCCCAACGGTTGTCAGTTCTTCGAGCTATATGGCCGGCCCATTGCCACTTCAGCTTACTAATCCGTTGGGCTATGTCGGTCATTCTGGTTCTACTGCGGATATCCTCATTTCTAAGTTTATCACGCAGAGAAACTCCGACCATAGCTCGCTGAGCGACTTTGAGCGTCCTCATACGGCAGCAGTAAAGGACCACGTCTCAGTTTCATACGTCATCAGTGGCAACACGCACTGGTTGTACAAATTAGTTTTCAGGTTTTGAAGTATACCTGACGAGAAGATGTGTCGTAATTTCCCGAACGCTGCCCAGCCGATTTGAATCCGTCGATTGACCTCTCGGTCGAAGTTGGACCTACCTAGTCGGACTATTTGTCCCAGGTAAACGTACTCGTCAACAACTTCGAGCATAGTGCTCCCAACAACTACCGGCATAGGTGTGACATGGACATTAAACATGATCTTTGTTTTGTCCATGTTCATCTTAAGACCTATCCTTTGGGAGACACCATTGAGGTCATTGAGCATAGTGCTTAGGTATTCCAGCGATTCTGCCATAAGGACTATATCGTCGGCAAATCGAAGGTGAGTGATGTACTCGCCATTGATGTTAATACCGTATACTTTCCAGTCCAGTAGCTTGAAAACGTCTTCCAATGCAGCGATGAAGAGTTTCGGGGAAATAACGTCCACCTTGTCTTACACCTCTCTGCAGTTGGATAGGTTTCGAACTTTGGTTCTGTACTCGGATAGCAAACACTTCAGCACTTCGATATACTGACAATCAACTTGGCACCGCTGAAGAGATTGTAGCACCGCCCAAACTTCGACGGAATCAAAGGCTTTCTCATAGTCCACATACGCCTGGCAAAGTGGCAGATTGTACTCTTCGGAATTCTGTACAATTTGCCGAAGGGTATGTATGTAGTCTATGGTACTAAAGCCTTTTCAGAAACCGGCTTGTTCGGGAGGCTGGAAGTCGTCGAGTCTGCGTGCGAGACGATTCGTAATGACTCTCGAAAACAGCACGTAGACGCGGCTCAGAAGGGATATCGGTCTGTAGTTCTTCAGGAGGGCGTTGTCACCTTTCTTGAAGAGCAAGACCACCGCACTTCTGCTTCACGCCTCCGGAGTAGTGCCACTATGGAGGACGGAATTAAAGAGCTTCTGAAGAACTTCAAGTACCGGTTTTCCACCCGCTTTCAGAAGCTCCGCTGTAATTCCATCCTCGCCCGGGGACTTGCCGTTTTTAAGGTGCTGGAGAGCCATTCTAATATCGCTCAGACTGACGTCCGGGATATCATCGGAATAGTGTCGGATAAGACTTGCTCTTGGATCGTTACTCACACTTGCGTGTGGCTCCAACGATGATTTGTACAGCTGCCCATAGAACCTCTCAATCTCACTCAGAATCTCACTCAGACTTCAGCTTTGACAGTTAGCTCTTACTGGCAGACAGATCTCTGACAAAGACGTTGGAGCCCTGGTTTCGCTCAATCGCTTCTTCAATACGAGCAGTATTAAAGTTGCGTAAGTCTCGCCGCATGCATTTGGAGATCTGTCTGTTCAGTTGCCTGTATGCTGTCAAATCTTTTGACGATTGCAGCCTCATCTCCCGTCTAACAGCCATGAGATTAAGAGTGTGATCGGAGAGTTTTTGTGTTCTTCTGCGGCGGGTCTTGCAGAACTTAGCTCCGACCACATGGACAGTTTCCACTAGCTTGGCATTCATATCGTCCACTGCATTGCAATCTTCTAGGCACTGAAAGCGGTTACGTAACTCGCGCTGAAAGGTTTCGGGATTCTGGATTAGAGCACGAGGTGGACGGAGCGTTGACTTCATTAGACGAGACCTCTCCAACCTAACGTTTAGGTTCTGTGTGCCTCTAACCATTCGATGATCGGTGCCATTTTTCACCCTTGCAATCACGGAGACATCACTGAACAGTTAACGTCTGGTCATCATAAAGAAGTCAATCTCATTTTTGTCGAACCATCGGGGCTCGACCAGGTCCACTTCCTATGGGGCCGCTTCTGGAAGAAAGAGTTTATCATAAAGAGTCTCTCTTTCTCCATAAAGTCGGCTAGCTGCTGGCCCCTACGGTTCCGATGCCCTACTCCAAATTTCCCTAACTTACTTACTTAACTTACTTACTTACTAGCTCACCGCTTTCTCTTGTGCCTAGTTTTGCGTTGAAGTCTCCCATCAACACCGTGTAGTGGGTTTTGGAAGAATGCGTGACTCTGGAAATATCCTCATACATTTCCTCCACCTCCTCATCGGGATGTGCCGAGGTTGGTGCGTAAACCTGTACCCACAAAAAATTTTTTTTTTAAAAATGACCTTCAGCGAATACCCTTTGGTGATTCTGAGTATCAGGAACGCGACCCTTTACAACGTTGTTGACAAGAGACTTGTGGACGATAATCCTCCTTGGGACAGATGGTCGCCCTCCCAGTGATAGAATAAGTTGCCAGACTCGAGGATTACCGTGTCCTCCCTCTCTCTTCGGACCTCCGATAACCCAATAATATGCCAACGCAACTTGTCTACCTCTTCTTCCAACTCCAGTATCATCTCGTCAGTCGTTAGGGTGCGTGCGTTATATGTTGCCAGGTCGAGTCGTCGTGGGTGGCAACCGAACCTC